GAGAGGTCTGTACTGTAGAGAGGTCTGTACTGTAGAGAGGTCTGTACAGCCAGAGTCTGAATCACTGGGCTAGGGAACAGGCCCCTAAGATGTTTGAGGTTTCCTGGGGACTTTTTTTTGGTGCTTGTAGGACTGGCAGCAGAGGAGATACACTTTCAATAGCTGTTTGGCACTCTTCTACTGTTTAATTGCTCATGATGAAGGCTGCATCATGGGAAATACAAGAGAAAGACCTGCGGTGAGATTGGTAAAGGAAATCAACCAATTAAGGATTCATTTGCACTTTGATGGCTGCATTCATTGCAGAAGCTGCTCTAGTGAGGTGACTTTTTCAGGTAGGTATATTGTATAGAAATACATAGATATATTCCCTGCAGCTCTGCTGGTCTAAATAATTATTGTCACCTCTGTGTGAAGTGCCTGCACAAAAGTCCTAGCCTGCTTTTGGCCAAACAGGTCTTTATTTACTTAGATGATCTCCAGAGTCCCAAGCCAACTTGTATCACTCAAAGTGCTTTGGAGCAGCAGGCAGCTTAGACATATATAGGCATATGACAGCAGGAAACACCTGGGGACAAGAAACTTTCATATATATATATATATATATATATATAAAAATGTGTATATATATATATAAACGTATATCATATAATGATTTATATACAAACACACCTCCCAGCTTCTGAGCACTGGGGTCTGCACAGCTGGTGCTTAGCCCAGGGCGTGGGGAACTTGCTCCCTCTCCTGATCTGTTGTGCTCTGCCATGTTTTGCAGCTAGACTGCACAAGGAGCTACCTAGAGGATTTTGGAAAACGGGATAGAGGCAGTTTTGCCAGAGAGGGCATTATGTATAGTTGGGTGGTAGGGGCCGTGTCCTGCCTAAGTAGTGACTGTGCAGGTGGCACAATTTCTCAGCTGAGAAAACTGCTTTGAAATGCAAGGTGTTAAAAAGGAGTCAGTGAACCTCTGGAGGCCAGCAGAAAAATGGGAAGCAGAAGAAAAAAGCCTTTTGGGTTGTGAATGTGGTCACTTCAAAGAGCTCAGTGTGGTTGTTTCTCTGGTTTTATTTGCCTGTCATGTAACACTGTTATTGGCACTTTCTGTGCCTGTTCTATTTCACTTCTGCTTCTTAAAATTAATGTAGGGCAGTGCCTCCAGGTCATGTTTGGTGCAAAATGCTTCCCATCAAAATGCTCTCCCGCCCCACAGGACATCTCTGGGTACACCAATCAACTTGGCTCTTGGTTTAAGGATGCTCCTTAGGATTCTCCCTGCTTGGAACCTGAGTGAGACTGCCATGATCTAAAGACTTAACAAAAGCAAAATCCTCACTGTTACCAGGATATTTCAAACAAATGTTAGCATTTAATTTTTTGCCCAGAGTTGCTGGATATACCTGACCTCCTCATGTGTGTGTCTTGCAGGAAGGCTGCCTACGACACGGCAGATCCCAGTGAAGGGCTCATGAACATTTTAAAAAAGATGTATGCGGAAGGGGACGATGAGATGAAGCGCACCATCAACAAGGCCTGGGTGGAAAGCAGAGAAAAGCAGTACAAAGGGGACATACCAATGGATATCTGAAAGTACTCTGAGAGCCGCCTTAATACCGATCTTCCATGTGAGACACGCTGTGCTGCAAAGATCATCGTTTATACGACCTTCTTCCAAGCAAAGACAGTCATTTTCCATTTCAGGTTGGAGAAAATATTTAAATAAAATAGCTTATAAAGCATTTCCTTCAGTCAAGTGGTTCACGGTTTCCTGAGGAGTGGAGCATAGGTACATCCTTACCTCTCCTTGAAAAAGCATCTCAGATGAGTGGGGAGTGCTGTGAGACCAAGAAGAGAATATAAAAGTAAAGGAATCCTAAAGTAGGATGTATCAAGGCCTCTGTTGCCAGTACACATGGCAGCTGTACCCATGTGGTTGTTGGGGCTAATGTCATGCTCACTATGCAGGGTGTGGGTTTTTGATTAGATGTGGGAAAGTGTTGAGCTGTAAAGCATGTCACAAAGGGAGAACTGAAGAAAGCAGAACCACTGTGCTGTGCACTTGATACTTAAGCAGAAACAATGTGGTGTTAATCCTGTGGTATTAAAATTTAATAATTACTCTCAGAAATGAATTACTGGCTGTTTAACCTCTTAGGAATTTTGGAAATGTAAGCAGCTCTTTAGTGCCAACTCTAAGCTCCCTGGGGTGTCTTTGAGGTGGCATCAGTCACAGGAGAGCAGTAAGCTGTTGATGCTGGACAGGGAGTTTGCCCTGGCTCTAGCAGTGTGTGAGGAAAAGAGGATCAGCTCCACTTTGCCTATCACCTCTCAAGGGTTCTAAGGAAACAGAGTAAGAAGTGTATTCAGATAGCTTATACTCCAAAATGTGACTCAGCTGGGGGTCATGGGTTGCTGTCACTTTGCTGCTAGTGGTATTTGGCCTCTTTACTGCCACCTCTCAGCCCCACTGCTGGGGAAGGGGACAGAGCAGCCACTGCCCCTTTATTGCATTGCTTTGAAGAAGAGTACAGGGCAAACATGAGCTTAGCAGCAGGCTTGTTACTGTGTCTTTCCTGCTTCCTTCTCATGAGTCTCCCAAGGGCAGATATGTTGTTACCTTAGGAATTAAGGAAGCCACTACTCTCTTGTTAGGGTCTGGACTAGGACTTACTTACTACCTTGTTTTTGAAGCATTGGACCAAGCGCTGCACTACAGACAGGAGAGAAATGGTAGCACATTGTAGTTTCTAACAGGTCCTTTAGCCACTTTGTCTCGTTGTCAATATAAATATATATTGCATAGCAAGAGTATCTAGAGGCCATGTTTTATCCCCAGTCTGTGCTCACCCTTGTTTGTGGCAGAATACCACTACCCTGTTGTGCAGTTTCATTTATGCTTTTACCCAAATTACTGTGAACTTACCATATGGTGGCAAAAAAAACCCCAACTTAAATGAGACTTGTGCTGTATGTCTTTATTTCTAACACTGCCCATACCACAAACCTCAGCTTAGTTCTGCAACCATCGGGTAAGGAACTTCCTTAAAATCAAACTGCCTCTCACGCAGACTGATTTAGTGCAGTTGTGCTGCTTGTCAGCTGATACCAACTGCACTCCAGTGAGGTTAATGAATCAGCACAACTTCTCATCCTTCCCTTATTTATTTGATGTTGATGCTGGACTCTCAGGCAGGACAGTCTCGCTTTAGTTGCTCACATGCACAAATGAGCCTGCTTTGTGTTTTCTGCCTGAATGCACATCCCCTGGTGATCACCACATGGCCCTCTGCACCCCAGACACCTGAGCGTGGTCAGCAAAGTGGCGGAAAACAATTCTGCTGAGCCTCCAGCGCCGCCTCACGCCCCGGGGGCGGGATGTCAGGACACACCTGTTGTGGATCCTCGAAGGGCAGCTGTCCCGGGGCAGGGCCGCGATCTCCTTGTCAGCCACTTCCTAAAGCAGAAGGCCACAGCACTGAGTTAACCTGTGTAGGTACCACCACAAGCTTCTCTACCACCTCACAAGTGAACTTTGCTGTCTTCCTCACTCAGCCCTTTCGTTCTGGGCATCCCAACAGTGAATGTAAACTGATCCACAGGGAGACCCCAAAGTTAACCTTATTATACAGAGAGAACAATCTCAAGCCACTAAGTATAGTCAAATCAGCTTGTCTCTGTCCATGTGCCAGGGTGGGCTAGCCCTTTAATAGACCCAAAATTTAACCTTATTACAGACTGAACAACCTCAAGCCAGGAATTATAGTTAGTCAAAAATCCACTTGGCTTTCTCCTTGTTGCAGGGTGGGCTAATCTTTTAAGATAAGCTGAATTAAATATATGTTTTTTATTAACTACCTGCCCAGGTAACATGTTTTGATGTCAGTAAAAGGGGTCACATACAGTGTACTTTGGAAGGTGTTACAGGGCTTTCTTTTGGGTTTTTTTCTCCAGTGTTTCTTGGTTTTGTCCTGTAAGAACATCCAACAGCAGTCAGACTTACCAAGAGAATGGTACAATCAATATATAAAAGCAAATTCATACATTTTCTCTCTCAGGATGTTTTAAGTGTAAAAGGATCTTGCCATAACTAGGTATAGCCAGATCCAATACATACAGGAATAATCTGATACTTGCAAATGTTTTTAGTGCTTAGTAAGGCACTCTGCTGAGAGCACAGCAGTGAATATGTGCATTTTTATGAACAGATCCAACAGCCAGATCTGATGCAGGCTTCACATGCCTGTAGGTCAGGCAAGAAGTAAAATTAAGCACTTCTAATTGATCAAATTGCTGGTTTTGGCTGGATGAGAGGCTTCCAGGTCTTTAAATAAGCAAAAAAAAAAAAAAAATCTTAAGTTTATTTAGGAAGCTATAAAAGTAACCATGTAACATCACATATTATCAGAAATAAGGAAAATAGGTTTGTGAATGTATAGCAGTGACAGCATGAGGAGGAAAAAATGTGATTTCACTGTATTTAGTGTTACATGTGCTGCTTACATGAGAAGCACTGTTTTCAAAAACCCCACAACCCAGCACACACATCCTCCAGTCAGGCAAATAGTGTTGCTGTACACACCTCCAAAAGGCTGAGGTAACTACAATATGACATTCTGTGCTTGTGAGCTAGACAAACACAAGCACTTGTGACCTGGCACAGCCATCTGGGTCTATAAAGTGACCTGGAGCACATCACAGCAGTGAGAGCCACGCATGGGCTTGTGCCCTGGCTGCTGGTACCTGCAGCTCCTTGGGAAGGATGGTGTTCTTCCGGATGGCGTTGATCCGCAGCCTCTCGTCGGCATACTCATAGGCCAGCCTCCTCCTCTTGACATCCCGCAGCATCCTCCAGTCCACGTAGTAGGTCCGCACCTGCCCTGGGCAGGGTGAGGGGAGAACCTAGTTCAAGAAATGAAGTTTGTCACACCTGCCTGCTGCATGTAGTTTGCCCCAGTGACATAAGAATTGTTATTTCCATGAATCATGGAATGCTGTGAGTTGGAAGGGACCCACAAGGGTTATTGGGTCCAACCTCAGCCCTGCACAGACACCCCAACAATCCTCCCCATCCCTGAGAGTGTTGTCCAAACACTCCTGGAGCTCTGGCAGCCTTGGGGCCGTGCCCACTGCCCTGGGGAGCCTGGTCAGTGCCAACCACCCTCTGGGATAAGAATCTTTTCCTGAGATCCAACCGAACCGTCCCTGGCACAGCTCCAGCCCTTCCCTGGGTCCTGTCACCGGTCACAGGGAGCAGAGATCGGTGCTGCCCCTCGTGAGGAAGCTGCACACTGCCATGAGGTATAAGAAGGGTAACGTGTGACCCAGCTTGGCTGTCGAAGGCGCCGAGGAGTTCACGGTACGGGAGGCACAGCGAGCCCCAACTTACACCGAACCCACGTTACACCCGACCCGCGCAGTCCGGGCCGCCGCGGGGCTGGGGCCGAGCCCGCAGCCATCTAACAACACCCGCAGCCCCCCTGCCCGCTGCCCGGCGCCCCGGCCGGCACATGGCCCCGAAGAAGAGCGGGGAGGGAGGGAGGGAGGGATGGAGTCGGTCTGACCTGCCAAGCCGCCCTCAGCGCCCAACCCAGCGCGGCCATCTTGTCGTCGCGCCGCGCATGCGCGCGGGCATGGCGGGTGCGCCTCTTCTGGGCGCTCCCCCCTCCCTGCCCTCCGTTCCCGCAGTTCCCGATGGTTCTGCGGCTGGAAGCGTCATGAGAGCCCCAGCTAGTCAGAGAGCTGTGCTGTGTGCCCCAGAGCTGCTGTCAGGGCTCGCTGGCACCACCCGTCATTAGAGGAAACTCTGCCACAGAAACGTCAGGGTCCGGCCGCGGGTGGAGCAAAGGGATCCCGGGTGTGGGGAAAGGCTGTAAAAGTGACAGGGAAAGCTGTCCCAGAAGGAAAATGTGGTGCAGAGGCATCGCCCCGCCGTTGTGGGGTCCCTGTGTGGAACACCACGTGTCCTGCCCGCCTGTCCCTGCTGTGGGACAGGTTATCTGCCAACAGCTTTCCTAAAGGCCGGGTGAGTTTTGTTTCTTGGGAGGTTTTTTGCTTGCTTATCACCTAGAAATATTCCTAAATTTCTGTCTGTCATTTGTGGGTTTTTTGTTTTTGTTCTGTTTTGGTTTTTTCAACTCATGAATTTTGAATAATAGAATCACAGAATATCCCGAGTTGGAAAGGACTCACAAGGACCTGACCTTGAACAGGACACCCCAACACTCCCACTGTGTCCCTGAGAGCAATGTCCAAACACTTAATAAACTCTGTCAGACTTGATGCCGTGACCACTTCCCTGGGGAGGCTGTTCAGTGCCCAGCCACCCTCTGGGGGAAGAACCCTTTCCTAATACCCAAACCTTCGGGTAAGTTAGAGCACTTTACAGAAAAAATTGAATAATCATAACCCCAAACAGTGAAAAACATGGGAAATTCTGCTTCTGTTGTTCTTATTCAGTGAGAGAAACTGTCCTGTTCACTGACTGGGACTTATGCAGCATTTCAAATAAGTCCTGATTTCAGGGAAAACATGCATTAAGGTTTTGATATTGAATTAATAGTTTTGATTGAATTTTCCATTTGTATCAGCTCGTTAGCTGTATCCAAAAAGTCATTCAAGAAGCTAGATTCTCTCGGTTTGTCAAGCTGCTTGTTGTCTGCGTGCCTGGTGTTTAACTGAGATGCCTGGTATATTACTCTGATGCAGAAGTATGGAATAATCTGGAAGAAGTGGCCAGGTTGGCAGGCTGATTCAAATTTTATTATCCACGTCAACAGCTTCCCCAGGAACTTTTTCACCTGGGCTGATGGTGATGAGTGGAAAGAAATAATTTTTAGTGCTGATAAAGTGGCTAATTCTCCGCAGCCTATTCTGCCAACCCAGGTGTTAACTACCCTGAAGGTGTTTGTCCTTCAGAGGTGCCCAGCTGAAGCCACTAATACATGTTTACAGAGCACTAAGCTAGCAAAGGGATAGCTATTTTCAATTCTCATTGCTTTACTTGGGTCTCATGAGCCACAGAGAGGTGAGATGCTGCTCACTGGTCTCATTTCCCAACTCCCTGTGCTCCCTTCATATCCTGAGGAGTCAAAAGGCTGCTTTTAAACTAGTGTGAGAGTCTGTCTATGGAGGGGAAACTGCAGCAGGCGAAAGAGCTCAGCCTGCCCAGCCTGTGGGCTGCAACCCTCTGTGAGCATCCAGTTCAAACCTTGGACTGTTTGTGACCCTGGTTCTGGGGTGTTCATGCATGGCTGGCTTGAAAGCAGATTTCTGGTGTTTGCAGGGAGAGAATTTCAAGCTTTGGTCCCTGATGTAATAGCAAGTCTGTTACCAGCTTTCCAGCTGGTAAAAGTGATGAGTGGAATATCATCCCAACAAATAAAGCAGGGAGTGTGATCAAAGGGTATTTGGATGTTACAGCACTTGTTCTTTTTTACAATATTTCGTTTCACTTCCCCTTTCGTGTTTGTTCTATGGTCCAGATGTGGGAGGAACTGGTGAGTGTAGGAAGAACTGTTTCTTCATCCAGGGCTGAATCTCTCCCTTGCTCACCAGCATCACCTGTGTGATTGGCACTTCCCCAGCTAAAATTGGCAAGGGCTAGTGATGTGCATTGATATTCCTTGGGCTGCTGCCTTCAGCTCCCTCAGCACAGCTTCTGGTTGTTGCAAAGCAAAGGAACTGATCAAAATCTGGGAGTTTGTTAGCTAAAAACTGGGCTCAGTAATGTATGTGGTTAAAATAATCGTGTGGGTATCTTAATGGTGCCTACAACATGTATATTGCTTTCTTTTAAGTTCTCAGGGGAGTTTTTTTTTTAAGTATTGTGCTGGATAAGTACAGTGTTGTGTCTGGATTTCTTTCCCCATCCACGGCGTGGGGCTGGCCCAGTTCTAGTTCCGTCTCCATCTGAAGAACCATTTCGACGCTTTGAGGGATGGGGAAAGGAAACTCCAGGGGTATCTCAGGGGTTTTTTCAGGCCCTGAGCCTGGAGGGGAGAGGTGCTCCCCCT